ATGAAAATATTCTCAGATGTGAGAATATCTTCATTTTTACCTCGGGGCATATATTTCAAACATTATCAACTCTAGACAATGCTGATAAAATTCAAAATCTCCAAAATGTTGGAAGTTGGATTCTCAATTGAAATTTTTGTTGTACATTGTAGGGTTAAAATCAAATTTGCCAACGAAAAAAAGGTTATGACTATTTATGTCTACACTGGTAATTTTTTAGCATATACTTGATAGAACAGTCTAACTTTTCCCATCAGTAACATCACAACAAAGTAAAATAATATAGATAATTTGGTGTTTTCGGGTCAACTAGTGTTTCGTCTGTAACTGCGGCGAACAATATCAAAAGCCGTCTGCCGCAGATGTAGACGAAACGTCAGACTCAAAAACATGCAGACCACGGCCAATAAACCCAAAAACTGTTAGGCTCCGGCTTCGAAAGCCTACACATTATGATAATATGTTATACTTCTGCAAAGGCTACAATAAGTTAAATTGTTTTAAAGCTAATTTGTTAAACAAACATAAACACTAATACCGGTAACAGCATTTGTTTTAGCGCCTTTCCGTGGCAGTGGGTACATATAAGAAAAAACAATAAATAAAATCTATTACATCAATGATAACTATTAAATGCAACAAATATCTCTAAGTCAAAAAATGCATGAGTTGGTCTCGAAGTCCAAGAGAATGTTTCAACTTTGGAAAACATATACATGATATATAACTAACGTTAATTTTCTTGCGAAAGACTTGGATTAGTTTTACTGCTAACTGTTATTTTGTAAAAAAACAAACATTCTCAATTGGAGTAACTTGCTCCTATGAAATATAAATACTTCAACAGCAATCATTGCTCGCTCATTCTCAATCTAAATAATGATTTCGTGGAAGCAAATTTTCAACAGATTTGATCATTTCGTTAAACCTACTGGAATAAATTATTGTATACGAAGGTGGTCCCAGAAGTACCCAGCCTGACCTAGAGATGGCGGTAGTTCTTTGAAAAATATCACTGTATCAGAAAGAACACAATCTATAAAGCAAGTGTTTCAAGTTTGAAGACGCTGTGTTGTTCAGTATTTGTTTGGCAGTCATCAATAGCGAAAGTTTTCGGTGAATTTGTGAAAATGGAGAAAATTGGTGATTATTTGAAAGACCTGAGAGTTTAGCGAAGTTTCACAGCAACAAAGCAGAATTTTTGCGTCGTTTCATAACCATGGATGAAACATGGGTTCATCACTTTACACCCGAGATAAAAGAACAATCCCAACAGGAATAAAAACCTCCATTGTGAAGCCAGTCTTTAAAAAAGGTGATCTAGAAAGTCTATAAAATTACCGACCAATATGCATCCCTCCCAGTTTTTCAAAATCATTCGAAATGGCAATGTCAGTGAGAATTATAGAGTTTGTGAATCAATGTAACTTATTTATTAGGCTTCAACATGGATACTTACAGGTCAACACAAACGGCCATATATCAATTCACACAAAATTTAACGAACATGATGGAAGAAAAATTGATAGCTCTCGGGATGTTTTTGGATCTATCCAAAGCATATGACTGCTTGAATCATCAACTAATGTTGATAAAATTAGAAAGATATGGGATAAGAGGTTCAGCGCTAAAGTGGGTTAAATCCTACTTATCAGATCGCCTTCAATCCGTAGAAATAAAACGAAATGGAAGAGTCTATAAATCCAAAACCCTTCCCACAGCCGTGGGAATTCCGCAGGGGAGCATTGCCCGCCCCTCTTTTGTTCGTCATTTATTTGAATGACTTATGTAATCTAAACCTAAACCAACGTCAGTTTAAAACTATCTTCCCAGATGACACAAGTCTGTTAGGAGGTGAAACCTTCCCAGAGATAGTACAGATCTATTCAACAAAACTAAGGACTGGTTCATTAAAAATAAACTTGTACTAAATGAATAGAAGACACATACTATTTTTTTTAAAACAAACCAAGACAACATTGATTATCCAGTTAGGGTGGACCTTCAAAAGTCTTCTTTTGAACTGTCCCACAATACCAAATTTTTAGGAATCCACATCAATGAGAACATGAATTGGTCTTCTCATATTGATAACCTCGCCAACCAAGTGGAATATCGTATGGAATTAGAGTTACATCAAAATATCTGCACAACGGGGCTACGAAAACAATATACACGGCTCGGTTGCTCAATACGGAATTATTTTTTGGGGTAGCAATCGAAATATCGAAAAAATCTTCAAAGTTCAAAAAAGAAAAAGAAGAATCAACATCTTAAATTATAACCAAACTTCAAACCCACCAATATAACGACAATCTACGCGATTTATATATATGAATGGCTAATGTTCATTTATAAAAATTCAAACCTCTGAGAATATACCTGCTCATAAGTATCACTTCAGAACAAATGAATATATGTATCCCCTTCACAGACTTACAGCATCTGAAAAAAGAGCCCACTATATGTCCATTAAGCTTTTCAACCATCTTCCAAACAGAATAAAACGGACTAAGAAAATTGGGGTTTTCAGAAGAGAACTAAAAAAAACTTCTCATATTCTCAGAGCCCTATGATTTGAACGCATATGTCACTGGAACATTCATTTAAAAATATTTATAACAAAAAAATCTGAACTTCTTTCCTTGTTTGACGCCATTTCATTCTATGTTACCGACCTTTTGCAATCAAAGTTTGTAATCTACTCTGAAATAAAGCTGTTTATTTTTATTATTATTATTATTAATCAAAACAGTGGACTCAAAAGAGAGAACCAGCTCACAAATCCATTATCGCAATGACCAAAAATACAAATTATAGCTTGAATTGCTACCTCATGCAATCTATTTGCCAGATTTAGCCCCCTCGGATTATTTTCTGTTTCCAACAATGAAGAAGTGATGTCGACAGTTAATGGCTATTTTGGGGAGCAAGGCAGTTCTTATTATAAAAACAGTATTGAACTTATTAAATGTCGCAAGAAAAAAGTATAGAGCTGCGAGGAGATAACATTGGAAAATAAATACATTTTTTTTTCCAAAATTTTTGTGTTTTCTTCTTTGGGTCGGTTACTTTTGATACCACTCTCGTACAACATAAAAAGTGTATGATCATTGCTTGAAATATGGATTCAAACTGAATACCATGTAGTCAAAGTAATGACAATCATCACAAGCTGGATTTTCACTGGGAGAAACTCTTAATACTGACATATACTTGTAGCAGATATTTATGCAGTTTTCAACTTTTTGCTATACACCGAAAGAAATAACACGGCCCAATAAAAATCCAACGGAAGTCATGGTCCAACCTATTTGGAAGCCAAAGTTATGGCTAATATGTTTCGTAATGTTAGATTTCCACATAGGGTCATCTTCACCAGTTTGAAGGAATTGAGGAAAAAAATTAAAATTGGTATACAAGTAACAATTTATCGTGAGATTTTACTGAACAGTTTATAAAACCACAACAGATGTTTCACTATGCAATGGCTTCCTCTGGTGGGTTCACACTTGAAAAATGTCTGAAGACACACGTGAAATGACTTCACACACGTAATATGTCCGAACACACACGTGAAATGTCTGAACACACATGTGAAATGTCTGTACACACATGTGAAATGTCTACACACATACGTGAAATGTCCGAACACATATACATGAAATGTCCAACATTTCATACACAAGTGAAATGTACGAACACACACATGAAATGTCCGAACACACACATGAAATGTCTGAACACACACGTGAAATGCCTACACAAACACGTGAAATGTCTGAACACCCACGTGAAATATCCGAACACATATACATGAAACGGCTGACATTTCACACACACGTGAAATGTCAGAACACATATACATGAAATGTACGAACACATACGTGAAATACATGAAATGTCCAACATTTCATACACACGTGAAATGTCTGAACACACACGTGAAATGCCTACACAAACACGTGAAATGTCTGAACACCCACGTGAAATGTCTGAACACACGTGAAATATCTGAACACTCACGTGAAATGACTGCACACACACGTGAAATGACTTCACACATGTGATATGTCCGAAAGCACACGTGAAATGTCTGAACACACACGTGAAGTGCCCGAACACATATACATAAAATGTCCGAAATTTCATACACACGTGAAATGTCCGAACACACATTACCTGAATATGTTAAGAACTTTTATCAAATATCAGCCAACTCCATCACATTAATATTCAAAACCCTTCTCATTTGTACAGCAGTTTATGTAGTCCAACAAGAACAAAATTCCCAACTCTTGACCCACATTTTGCTAATTGAGTGAGCACCATCAGGATATGACTGGAACTGAATCCAACATATATGTTAGAGAGCTTTTACATTCATCTGGACGACCCATCACTTCACATCATCATCAAATGAATGTCATTAAATCAATTCCAGTATTGATTTATTTCGTTATTTTTTTATATGTACCTCAACTTCGTCAACAACTGAAGGGGAAGTCTAATTTTTGGTTTTCTACTACTTCATCTTGATACAAAAAAAGGGGGAATCTCTCAAATAAAGGAAGGTTGCAACATTTTTTTTGTATCAAGATGGAGTAGTAGAAAGCCAAAAACTTTCTTTCCCAAAAATTAATCACTCCTAAAAATATAACCTATTTAATTCAGAAAAGTCTACGTTTTATAAACTACGTTTAACACAGGACATTTCATCATATTCGGTTTCATAGATCAGAGAAGTCTGATGTCACTCAAAATGCTTGCAGATGATGACCGCAGATGATGTGAGGTATGGTTGAAATTTTTGAGACCAGTACATGACAACAGGCTTTTAGGAGCCTTTGAGAGCTTGGAAATAGAAAAATGTGGAATGTGCAGGTGAATATTAGGCATTGACATACACTATACTGGAATTGATTCAATTGCATTCATGATATAAGGTGAGGGTTCATCAAAAGGTATACCATTCTATTGGTTTAGCAAAATTCATATCCCAAATCAGTGCTTTTATTCTGATATGAGAAAAATGTTTTCAATAGATGAATTTTAACTTCAACTCAGGTTCCGCGAACTAAAATATTCAAATTGCCAGATATCAAAGTTAGAATATAGAATACAAATCATAATGTATTTGCAGCTTATTAATAAAGTGCTGATGAATTTTATGAAATTCATCTTAAATCCTAACATTACTTTTTAGTGAATTACATAAATGAAAGAAACCTTTCATTAAAAAGTTAAATTGTTTGGACTAGTAGGTACGTCATTGCGTTTTCATTAATTTTTTGACTCATTTCGGATGCACAAATTGTTGAAGCACAGGTAAAAATCCAGCGATCATCCTGTATTACAGAATAAATAATTTTTGGCTTTCACAAGAAGTTTGTCCAAAAGTAAAGTTACTAATATGTGGAAATCAAACATCCTCAAACACCCATCTAAAAACACTGGAATAACAAAAAATACCTTTCTACTAGCTCTAAACCCAACATAATACTTAAGGCGAAAAATGCTGATGCCGCCTCCTCTTGAAAACGAGCGCAAATATACTCCTCAGCCTCCACCACTTGCTGTGCCTGTTAGGCTTCCTATCATGCCCGGACAGGCCCATCTTCTCTCTCTCCTTCCTTCTGATTTCCCTGACTAGAGTGTGGAAAGCGTCGTCGACGTACGTCCTTAGACACGCCGACGTTTCGTAGAAGGGACAACCGAACTGCCTGGCCAGTGATTTGCCCTCTTCCGTCGTAACTTTGCGTTGCAGGTGCAAGTCGAATTTGTTGCCGACAAGGACCAACGGAGTGTCTTCGGTAGCGCGTACTTTCTGGATGAGTTTTTTGTATTCCAGAGCTTCTTGGAAACTGTGACGGTCGGTAACGCTATAGCAAATGAGGAAGCCCTCGCCGCATCGCATGTATTGGTCCCTCATGGCGGTGAATTCAATCTGAAACAGTGGAGAACTTTGTCAGCAAAGTCAGATTTACTTCGTGATTGTTAATTGTTCCCGAACGATTCATATAATGGATAAAAATTTTGAACAAGAAATTTGTCCTTAATTATTTATTACCTGTCCTGCCGTGTCCAATATATCCAACAGAGCTGGTTCGCCATCGATAACCGCTTGTTGTTGGTATGAGTCCTCTGTAACGAAACTCGTTATGAAATAATTACACCAAAACAATCATTTTTACCAATGGTTGGGTCGTGGTAGTCCAGAAAACTGTGACTGACAAACTGCAGAGTGACGGCTACAAAAATGTCTTTAATGAATAGGTGAAAATACCAACTTTTCTCTCATTACCTGATTTTCCAACACCCCCATCTCCCAATACAACTATTTTATACACTCTATGTCCGGTCCTGGATTTGTCTTGGGTACTTACTCCAGCTATGGGCCGGTCCGTGTCTATCTCCAAATCCTTTCCTGACCTTCCAGATTCCTGTCTGGATACTTTTCCCTTTTTCCTGTGGTTTGCCTCTCCGGCCATTTCCAAGGGGCGATACACTTTGATGGTTTTTGTGTCTCAATTGGAGAACAACCGAGGGTTTGATAGTGTATCACTTGGAGGTATTAGAAATGGGAAAATACAGTTTAGAATAGTAGTACCCCCACAACCCATTACCATTACCCATCCCGAAACACATCTGACGTCTGTGACATTTAAAACTTAAAAACAGAGTGATTAAGGATTAGGGGAAGGGTGAAGGCTAATTAACAGCTGAAATTCATGGATATATAGCGTTTTCCACTGCTGAAACCGGTGCATGTTTAGTGTATTTCTGTCCTTTATCAATGTATCAACAAATGAAGGATAGAGATATACGAAAGTGTACCGCGTTCACCAATGAAAAGCGCTGATAGTTAGTAAATAACTACGTCCAACAGAATCAAGACATTGAAGTGGGCTAACTATTTTTTTGTAACGACTTTCATACTGTCTTGGTAATATGTTACAAATATCATGTTTTACATTACAACTGTTGTTCACTTTCATGGTGTGGCCTGTCATCTATTGTTCAATTGCGAAATCTCGCAGAATATTTGTTTTTTGCAGAACTCTTTACACATCAACTTCTGATAGAACGTAATAGATGGCAGAAGGTCATAAACAAAAACTTACTGTATGGTCATTGTCTAAATCTTTAGACAATGGTATGGTGGTCAGCAGCTGGTGTGATTTACTACAACTACATCCCCAGCAAAAATGTGTTAATCCCCTTCACCAAGAGAAGGAAATTGGACGATCTAACGCCACTTTCCCTCAATGGTGTGATCATTCCATTTGGAACGGAGGTAAAATATCTTGGCATTGTCCTTGATAAAAGACTCACCTCGAACGCTCACTTGGAAAAAGTTTTACACAAAGCCATACTGTCTCTATGGACATGTCGAAGGATTTGTGGTAAAACTTGGGGTTTAGGTCCCAAACAAATCCATTGGATTTATGTGATGATTGTCAGACCAATGATCACGTATGGTGCAATTGCTTGGTAGCCGAAGGCTTTACAGAAAACGGCCCAAGCGAAGCTCTCTGGCTTACAGAGACAGGCTTGTCTAACTATCAGTGGTGCCATCAGTACCACACCGTCAGCGGCCATGGAAATCCTTCTAGATCTACACATTTTTCTGGAAATAGAGGCTAGATGGACTGCATACAGACTTGTGCACATTGCCAATTGCACAAATCAATTCAATGCAGAGTGCAACAGGCTGTTGGTTGACATTGGAAGTCACAGCATTCTGGAAATGACCTCGGACTTTATGCCTCCAACTGTTAACTACGAACTGCCTTATAAAGTACTATTCCCGAGTACAGAGTTATCTACCTGCCTAGGAACTTATACGACTGTATTTCAAGCGGAAATTTACGCTATTGAATTGTGTGCGGAGAGATTGGATAAATCCAACTTCACTCACAAGTCAATAAACATATTCTCGGACGTTGGACAAAGACCCCTATAGATACCAGTTTTGAATGAAATCACATAATAATATCAAATCTCAATCGAATTTATAAATATTCGTGATTTCTAATCGAAAATTATTTATATCCGACCTCACAAACCGCACCGCTTGTATATCAAATCTGAGAATAAATCACAAATTTCTTCATCTTATTTTATGAAGCAAAGTTCATCACTTTTGAAATTAACATTTATCATTGTTATAAATTAGTTCATTCGGAATAATTTAATTTTAATCCAGGAAACCACGCGCTTTATTATAAAGCCATACATAAATAAAAATCTAGTAGGTTGTATAAAAACTGACTTCATTTCCATAATCATTAATAAATAATAAATCAAATTTCCTCTAGGAACTATTTGAACAGAATACGTTTTCACCTAAAATGATTTATTTTATAAATATATAATATCCCTCCGATTATTAACTAAACCAACCGCCACTGTTTTATGGTCCCACTTACTTCAAATGTAAACAAACTCTTCATAACCTCTCAGTACCCGCCACCCCCTCTTGGCCATAAGTTGTAGAGAAAAGAATAGTACGATACCCGTTTCAAAACACATGTGTTGTATTGATATAGGCATCGTACAGGCATGGTAACTCTATGTCTTATTATTACTCTGAGATTGTTACATTGTGTGAAAACGTCCGCCCACAAAGAAGGTACGAGGATGCCATGTGCTATCATGGGGCTCCGTTTTTGTGTTGTGCTAGTCCATTATTACGGAAAAGCGTGTCTTTAAAAAAAAAGTGATGAATAAAGGGCCCTCTTTATTCACGCCGGTATCCAGGCCGGGTGGTTCGGATAACCACTTAAAGGAGGATGTATATGTAAAAAAAAACAAAAGGTCTTCCAATCAGGAGGTTTTAATTATACAAAGAATTGTTTTTATAATGAAAAAACAAGAAGTTGGAAGAAAAAAGTGGTAGCAGCATTGCTACGTGCAAGACCGCTACGCCCCCAACAGGAAGAGCATTGGTCATATGCGCCTGAAGATACGAAGCAACGACCATCCAAAATAGAGAGAGAGAGAGAATTATTATAATTATTCAAAAATTTCGAATTGTACATAGACTTATATAAGTTAAAGTTTGTAGTATTGTTGAAGATACACATTTTAAGATAAATTATTGTTTTGATATATTTATCTTTTGATAACCTTCAAACTAAGGTTGAAATCATACAGCTGGAATTTCCAAAAATATTTGTCTAAAGAAATGAACTTTAAACGTTCAAGCCAGTCTCGAATATACCTACGCAGTAGGTTGAATGGACTGACGCTTATCAGAAAACAACTACTCCCCTGGCTAATACCACGAAGGTCGTTGGATTATATCCAACAGGCGTCAGTGCGGAAATCTACACAGAAAATTTCCTGCATATGCAATTGGCAATACAACTAAAAGAGTCGACCCTCAATTTTGGAACGAGCACACTTGCAGACCGGTTTCGGGCTCATTACCCACTCATCAGTGCAAGATAGTGGCCATCATCGACCTAAAGTCAATGATATTCCATAATTGAAAATCAGAAATTTTTCAGGGTATTTCATTCCTCTTCCTAAGTTGGAGCGAACAACAAAATGTCACTCCATCTAGTGGACGAGGTACTAACCAACTGCATATCCGAAATTTGCCCAATTACTCTGAATAAGAAAAACTTTCTTATTAGACAGTGGGCTATACTACCTACCGTGTAGGTATATTCGAGACTGGCTTGAACGTTTAAAGTTAATTTCTTTAGATTTGTTTACTGTCAGTCTTCAAGCATAGCCCATTGACTAATAAGAAAAAAACATTGTATTTAAATTTTGAATTCAATTAACGTTTATGTCATCTTTTACTTATGTAGAAAAATATACGTTTTTCCATGTATACAAAAAAAAATCCAAATTCGTTAAATGTTGTTATAACCACCTTGTTACGGTGGCTAACTTAAGTACGAGGAAAATGGGAAGGAATTAAAATATTAATCAGGTCTGCATATAAGCTTTATTGAGTATAAAAATGCGAATCCATACTGCACCACTAAAACCACAGGTTAATCTGTTGATTATATTTTGTTTTAAAACCACTCAACAGTTATAACAAATATATACTAAAAAAAAATTATTAATGACTTTATTAACTCGGAATATTAGTAGCGCAGTATGTTACCAAAAATGCGATAAAGGCACCTATCCATAAAACGAGCGAACAATCCTTTTCACAGCTCCCTAACCGTTTAAAATCAAAATGCAAAATATCCATCATTCCTTCAAAAAAAACAACAAACGGTTATATACATATAAAGATATTTACATTGTATTAAAGATACTTAAAAAAACTCAAGAAACAAGAAAAATTTGATTGGAGATTACTCACTGTTTCGCATGATGTAATTTCTTCAATGAATAACAATTATCGAAGCGACAGTGGAAGACGATGAGACATAAATTATTTACTTGTCGAAACAAAGCCATTATAAAATCCAAAAGTGAAAACAGTGAAAAAAATCATTATTGTTCTTGAAAAATTGTCTGCTGTTATTATTAATTATATTAAAGCAAACTACTACAATTTTCTCAACCTCATAATATTTTGCAGATCATTTGAGCTACTTTTCAATATTATTGAATAAAAAAATTCATCATCCAGTTGAAATTATATCAAATGAGCCATAGAGACAAACCAATTCTATTTGGGGGGAGATGGCGAAGACGTCTAAAATTCAACAAGATAATCATATATACTTTTGTTGCAGTACATGAACCCCCAAAATTACAAAATATAATAAATAAGACAAACACAGACAAATATCTAAGACAGGCCAATGACTGCAAAATTAAAATTAAAAATAAATAAGTAAACTAACAGTACGTGAGCGAATAGCACAAGATATCTTCCTTTCAATTTTTGACTAAATATCATCCAGTTCAATTATATACAAAATTTTTTCAACTATTTATTCAGACTCAGGTGAATAATCTTCCAGGAAGACACTTAATATCATATATTCAAAATATTGGTTTTAATCAGCACTGGGTTGAATATTGGACAATGCACTTTTCAAAGGAGCTAATCTTTTTCAAAAAAGCAAAAATAGCAAACTCTGATGCCCAATTTGTGATATGTATTTTTGTATCACAACAGTTCGCTTTGATTACAATTTTTGTAAATCATTACGTCAGGTTCACGTTTGGCTTGAAAAATGCACCGTGTGAATGGCAAAGGACAGTGGAATGGATTTATTCAAAAAATGGTTAAAATTCACTAAATGCTTCTTCTCGATGTTCTTTCTTTCAAAATTGAAAAAGAGCGAGAGCAAAAAAGCAAAACGAAATATTACCTCTTATGATTATGTTGCATGTCAATAAAAGTTGTATAATTTTCTTCACAAGAAAATTATCAACTCGGGTACATTGTGTTCACTAAGAACTATTTTATCAGTTTACTAATCTTTCTCAAAGTATCCAACTTTATTTTTGCATAGTACATATAATATTCAGGGTTTTTTTTGAGCAAAGGAAAGGTTCCTGACAAATTTTCAGATCGCAACTTTTTCCAGGATGTTATGAAAAAGAATCGAAGGCTGAGAAATACAATAATCTCGGAAAATAACAAAACCAAAAAGATCTTGTTCATATTTTTGAAGAAAAACTCGGCCAAATATCTTTTCTGACCAAAAATACTAGAAAAATTCGATCACAAGATATATTATTTCATAATTTATGTGATTTCGGAAAATAATGGATTTCCCTCGATGTATATGCGGAATAGATCTGCATTTTCTGAGTACTTTTATCTTCCACACACAATTCATCTTTGAATTGATTTCAATTAATCTTTGTCTTAGTCTTGAGAAGGAAATTTTACTGATGAATGTAACAAAAGTGCTGAACATAAAGAAAATTATGACACAAATCTCAAACGTGGTTTTTTTGATTGTAAAAATGAAAATGATGGTCTTGCAATTAGAAATGCTAGAAGAGGATATGAATCCCAAAATGCAGATTAAAATCAGGTATGTTTGTGAAAAGCGGGCTTTTGAATTCATTTCTGCTGAAAAACTATAAGATACAAAATCACTCAAGGGCCACTTAGAAATTTTTTATATTCAAGAGTGTAAACTATCGGTTGAAAAAAAATACTCTATGGTCCTTCAGCGCCTTCGTTAGGAACAGTTTATAAGGTCCAACATAAAAATCAAGAATAAGAATGGAGAATACTCGAGAGGAAAAACTAGGGACAAATATAAAATAAATAAAAGGAAATATTTGAAGAAAAACATGGAAAAGTAATCACAGCAAACCCTGAAAAAAATTAAATAAAATACACCATGCTCTCCTCTGCCTATCTAAAAAAAAACACACGTACATTCGCCGAGCTCAGAGCAGATATTTCCCTACCTAGCGCTCCCTAGTCATTGGCCCCTCATATAATTCACTGCAAGTAAGTGCGTACAAGACGAATTACTAAAAGATATTGAGAAGTCAGTCTTTCTTCAGGCTTCAGTTAAGTTTTCAGTCGGAGCTTCGACGGACAAATCTCCAGCATCGATTTCCATCGGACTGTCAACACTGCCTGCGTCCACAGCAATGTGGGTTCGATCGATGTCTTCAGAGAAAGGATTCAAATCCTGTCCATCCCCGGAACCTTCTCCAACATGTTCGGAAGGTTCTAACTCTTTTCTTTCGGCGGAAGATTCTAACTCTTTGCTTTCGGCGAAAGGTTCGAACTCTATACGTTTGGCGGAAGACTCGACTTCCATTTCCTTTGGGTCGATGTCTGAGAGTTTATCAAAGTCCGAGTTTCTCTCTGTGTCGGGCGACTCGCTTCTCAGTTGGGTGGTTGCCTGTTCCTCGTCAGATTCGATGGTTTCTTTGTCGGAATCTGAAATCGATTCGGTAGTTGCTTTCGTGGTTTCCAGAGCGGGACCGGTTGGTCTCTGCTTTCTCGAAGGGTTGAAGTGAGAACAGTAACAGCAGCGATACGAGAGGTATTCGAAGTCTTCCTTGAAAGCCATGCCTGAAAGAACAAATGAAATTCAAACGAAGGAGAACTAGATCAATGTGAAATATTTCCTCTAGGTACTCTTTTTTTTAGCAGTGCCACTTTTTGATAGTACTGAAGCTTTAAAAACATTAGTACTCAATTACCACAGAATGGAATTTGTACATTTTTTCAATGTTTTAATAACCTCTCACCATTATGCGCGGAACACTTCTGGCAAATGAGCGCGAATCTATTGGAAGGTCCGTCTCCTATCAAAAAATGAATCATCTTATCCAGGACGGTTCGGTCCTTAGGCAGGATACTCCTAGGCAAAGCCAAAGCTGTGCTGGAGACTCGTAAGGGAGTCGCCTGGTTGCCGAAGGTCTGCATGGGAGTTCCTTGATACTGGATAGCGGGTCTAGCAGCAGACATGGCCGGTTGGATGAAAGTCCTTTCAGGGTAAGGAGTGGCGGGACCTACAGAAGACCCGAATGACAGGCGACCTTTGACGTTCTGCGGGCCTACGATTCTCTGCCGGAGAACTGAAAATAAAAAGATTGAAGGATAATCATTTCTTTCAGGAAATAATGGAATATAAATTTCATAATAAGGAGAGAGTTTTATTACCATTATATATAGAAATCAAGTGTGGACTACCGCAGGGTTCTGTGCAAAGTCCTACTCTATATTAGTGATCCGATTAGTACTAATTTCAGGAAATTTTACACTGTTCGTCTCTCGTGATGGTATCATGAAGATAAAAATACTAGACACCAAATAATACATACGGACATGGTCAGAATTAGGTACTGGTTTAACTCGAACTTACTATCATTCAACATCAAAAAGACACACATACGAGGGTTGCCTTTTATATTTCAGGATTAGAGAACAAAAACAAATATTGATCATCGAAAATCACTTTATTGTTTTTCAAAATATTCCCCATGAAGATCTATACACTTTTGCATGCGTTTGAACCAATTGTCGAAGCACTTTTGTCACTCTGATTGAGGTATCTCCAAAACATGCATTCTGAATGCAGCAACCGCTTCTTCAGGTGTCGAAAAACGTTGAACTCTCAGTTTGATTTTGACGGGAATGAAAAAAAGTCATTCGGTGCCGAGTCAGGACTATACGGCGGATGACTCATCAAATCGATGTTTTGGGTGCTCAAAAATGCAGTTGTTTGAGCCGATGTGTGAGAGCTCGCATTGTCGTGGTGAAGAGTGATTCGTCTTCGGCGATTGGTTTTCCTGATTTCTTGGAAGACAACTGGCAAACAAATGGTTGTGAACCACTCAGAATTGACTGTTCTGCGTTGTTTTAGTGGTACGGTTGCGACATATTCAGTTTTTCCGAAAACACAGGCGACCATTTGCTTGGAAGTGCTTCGTGCGTGAACAAATTTTGTTGGATTTGGCTCATCTTGAAATACCCATACAGTCGACTGCCGTTTACTTTCGGGCTCATACGCGTAAATCCACGATTTATCACGGTGTCATAGACGTGTTTCGGAGCACCGCGACCGAATTTTTTGAGCATTTCCTTCGACCAATCGATACGAGCCTTTTTTTGAGCGATTGAAAAATTGTGTGGGATCCAACGCGAACAAATTTTTTTTGACTATCAAATGTTTATGCAATATTGAATGTATGCTGGTCCCACTAATCCCTAAGGTTGTCTCAATTTTACGATAGGTCACATGATGATGTTGCAATATCAGTTTGCGCACAGCATCAATGGTTTTCGGAACAACAACTAATTTTGGACGACCTTCACGAAATTCGTCTTGGAGTGAACTACGACCACGATAGAATTCACCATACCATTGATACACACTGGTCCTTGATGGAGCTTCATCGCCAAAAATTGAATTAAGTTCATCCATGCACTGTTGCTGAGTTAATCCACGTCGAAAGTTGTAAAAAATAATCGCACGAAAATGTTCACGATTTAATTCCATTTTTGAACCGAGATGAATCTTTTGAGTTACTGTAAACAACACAAATAGCGCGCGTATGTCCAAACGTTCTAAATGCGTAAAAGCTCAAAAATGTCCAACTTTACGATACAGCTGTCAGTTGCCAGATTGCGACACTAGGGTTGCCAAATCTCGAAACATAAAAAGGCATAAACATAAAAGGCAAAAGGCAAGGGGTAATTATCTATATGAAGAGTGAACTTGATTATATAACTTCTATAAATCACCTCAGTGAACTTAAACTTTTAGAAATTTCTTACACACTGAATACTATGTCTTTTATACTAACTACCTGTTATCGTCCACCTTCAACAAATCTAAATTGTTATATAACAGAACTTGAAAACTATTTTTCATCCCAAAATAAAGCGGATATCAAAATATTTTTGGGCGATATTAATATTAATTTACTGGATACATCCGACATAAGCGTTATCGATGCATATGCAGGAAATTTTCTGTGAAGATTCCTGCACTGACGCCTGTCGGATATAATCCAACGCCCTTCGTGGTATTAGCCAGGGGAGTAGTTGTTTTCTGATAGGCGTCAGTCCATTAAACCTACTGTGTAGGTATATAGAGACTGGCATGAACGTTTGAAGTTCAGTTGCTTTAAAAATCAGTTCATTATCATAGAAGAAAAAAATGCTGACGAGTATTAAAAAACAACTGTTTTCATTTAAAACTAATGTATAGACAACTACAATGAGCTGCATATTCTTCAATACGAATACGAAAACAATAATATAACGCTTTTTACCAGCGACCTTCATGATTGCAAGTCTATACGGATGGCAAAACAAAAAGTTCCATTCTATTAACGAACCGCTCATTAGAGCGTGGATTATTCGACTTATTAATAGTCCGTCTGCCTTTCAAAAAAGCCTTGCACTCATTTCGAATATGCTTCGGATTATATGCAATACGGACATGGTGAATTGAAAGCAATATAGGTATTTTATAGCGGTCGAGTTTGGTACCAATTTCCTGTTATATCACAATCCGTCGCTGTCTTTTTACTTCCAAAATCCATTATTTTATGTTGTTTTAGGGTCTGTGAATATCATTCGTAGTTCAAAATGAAATAAAAATATACTTTTATCAATGTTCAAATCAAACTGAGAATCATCAATGAATAAAAATTGCTGGAGTTTTTCCCAACACCAAACCGTTATTTCAACACCTCGACACTTGTTTGGATCACCAATTGATTATCTTCAAGAGGAAGATTTGAACAATTCCTGTAGCTTCCGGTGTGCCACAAGGATCACATTGTGGACCATTATTGTTCAATCTATATGTTAATGTTAATGACATTGGAAATTGTTTACAGTATGCAAAGTTTTTACTATTTGCAGATGATTTGCAACTATATTCATCAGTTAGTATTGTCTTAGACAGTCAGATTCTTCACAACGAATTAGATATTATACAGGCTGATTCACGGTGGATGGCACATTAGACGTTTCTGGTGAACCAGACAATGGATCACTTTGAAAATTTAATGGAGGGCATATTCGGACATTATCTAGCCAACTAAAATATTTTCGACAATGCGGTGTTGCCGCTTCTATTAGAAAGCAGTAGCAACTTTGATTTTTCAAAATTCAAGATAAAGCAGTGGCGTAGTATTTTTTTCGCCAAAAATATACATTTCAAAACTCGTACGTACGCCACTGGCAGAGAAAATTAAGAAAATTGTACATCAGAAAATGCGCCTTGAGGCATGGAACATATTTACCAAATATGCCAAAGATGTCTACAAAATTATCTCAGTTATTATAAAAAACTGTTTATTTTTTGAAAACTTTGCCACCCTGTATCTCAAGAGTTAAGGCGTTTAGGACATACGTCCATAGGACGTTTTTTCCTTAAAAGGGGTCTAAGAATTACCTCCTTAAATATTAGCATGTGTTTAAGGAACACCCTGTATATCATTGGGTTTATGTATGCCTTTTTGTGGTTGTCGTAGCTTTTGATCAGTTTTTTCTTGGTTTGGCTAATATAGACTTTGTTGCAGTCCGAGCATTGTATGCTGTACACCGTGTTTAGGTTTTCGTCTTCTTCTTTTGCTTAGCTGTTCATTTTTTTTTGTTATTTTCGTGTTTGGCTTGCATGTGATGTTGATGTTCAGCGATTTGAAGATGTTTGTTAGTTTTGGTGACCTACGTATGTGAATGCTCTCCATCGTTGTGTTGTTTTATCTGCTGGAGTAGTTCAATCTTTGTTCTGTATTTTTTGTTCGATTCTATATTCTAATTTATCTATTGTCTTTTGGGTCTATTACGACTATAATATTGATGGAAAAGTACTAGACAGGGTGAACGAAATGAGTGACCTTGGGATCACTTTAGATCAACAACTGAACTTCAAGAGACACTTCAATAACGTTCCTGCAAAGGGAAGCGAAATGTTAGAATTTATAATGAGAAATTTTAAAGAGTTGTCATGTAATACCCTCGAAACTTTATATTGTTCTTCAGTTAGATCAGCACTTGAATATGCCTCAGTTGCATGGTTCCCATACTGAATGAATGAATGTTGTTTATTGATAGTAAATGAACATATTAAAGTAATACACGATAAATACAATAAACTTTACAATGAACCAACAGAAGTTGTTGAGAGCTTCAACAACTTGTATGCGGTAACACAACACATAATTACATTTTTTTTATAAATTTAGTACACTGAACACAATATTCTATCACATAGGTTGTATATAAGTAAATAAGTACAATAATGAAAATTAAAAGATTTATATAACAAACAAGAAGAATAAAAGGTAAAATTTGAATAGTAGAAACAAGACAGCATCGTTCAATTATAGTTTACCAGTATTATCTTGATAATCCACTCAACGATGTATAGCTATATTTATATATAATACTACAAATGTGACACTGAAAATGTCGAAATTCGATTTCTAAAATTCGATTAGACAGCGAATTCTTGATCTTAATGATATGATACATGAAACTTTCACTTTCCAGGACTAATTGTCCTTTGTGTTATCAGCATACCGTTCATCAAGTATTGCTTTACTTGGTTGTTTACAATGTAGGATTTGGAATTTGATGTTTGTGATGAAAAAAGCATGAGTGATAAATTATCGACATTCCATTTTCAACGTCCTTGACATTTACACTGAACATAGTGATTGTTAAAAGAATGAGTTGATATTTTAACAAAGAGATTTTTCTGGTAGATGGTTGAACAGGATCAGTATAGTGGCCAATAAGGTCAGTCGATTTAGATCCATTAAAGACTTCAAGTTATAAAATTCACTCAGAAACTTCAGATGATCCTTTACAACATCCGAAACTACATTGACAAGTATGAGAAATCGTCCTTGGTTCGTTCTCATTGACTGAACAGTATATTAAATGTACACACGAAATAATTGAAAATACATATAACTTCATACATAATTGCAATGAATTCTTAGAGAAAAACTTGCTAGAGGTGAATAACGAATATTCTTACCAATATAAAGTCAACATACCACAAAATGAGTAATTTAATGAAATCCAACGGCTATAAAAAGACAGCCCAGTAATGCAAATTAGTACCAGTCTTAGTCATAACAATTGAGTCATTTAATTATTCTGATGTAAACAACTCGTCGTTTAAAAAAAGTTATTCTGGTAATTCGCATTTTTAGTCAACCAACGATAATCAAATTTCCATACTTCTCCATCATAATAAAAAACTCTCAAGGAAAGAAAGAAAGTAATTAACTACAATAAAATTCTTTATAAAGATGTTTTCATTCACAGAAGCTTCTTTCAGATATGAAATAGAAGATGAGGCGTTTCCAAAATAACTACCTTCACATGAACACAAAACAAGAAGTTCTTTCAAAATAGAGAATTTTATATGATCAATGCATTACATGAAAATCACTTTTTCTTATTGAGTTATTACTCCAAACAATAATTACATACACATAATTCATTAAAAGTCACAAGCATTTGTTTTAATATTTTCAATCATATCAATATTCAATTCTTCTTCAATTCATTTGTTCTTCGATAAATTTCAAATCCACCAATGGCTTTTTAGATAATGACCTTGATACAGATTCATTGATATGCAATCGAATAAAATGATAACAATAAAATTCACAGGAACTTGAAAACATATTACTTGAGTAGACATTAAGCTGTATTCTGACTGACATAGCCTATTATGATTCAAAAGAATTATGGAATTATAACTCACTTTATGCATTCAAGGGTTTTATGGCATATCTTATATAGAAACAGACATATTTGAGTAAAAAATATTGAAAATGGATTATTTTAAAAATCAATCCAACTTCAATTTCAAATTTGTTGAAGACCCCAAAACATTTTTCTGGAATATCCTGACACCAATGAAATAATAATAATATTTATTCACCATTTGTGATACATAGCGTATACATGGTAGGTCAATGATTAATTAGGTAAAACAAAGAACAGTATGTCACTTATTGATAAAATAATGAAATCAAAGCTTAAGTAAAAATCAATATTTGCATATACAAAGGTATAGGTATATATACACATATAAAATTCTAATAAAAAAATAAATAAAAAATGTGTCAATTTTGCTTGCCATAGTCAAATAAATATACATATATATTTACATACATATACACACAAACACATATATAAAAAAACGATAAAATCGCCAGTCAGAACACTGAAACTAAAGCAAAACAGCAAGTGAAAAATTAGAACGATTATATATCTTATTACTCTTCTGTGAAAGAATCCTCTAAATATTCCTTGTGACTGTAGTAACATTTGTCCGGTAATAAGTTTTTAACTTTCTTACTGAACAAATTTGCAGAATTCAACCTCTTTATAGAAAGTGTCAGTCTGTTATTAAAAATATGCAATCCTTTTCAAATGCAGAAAGATCAGACATTAGAATATAATGAATAACGTCTGTAGTAACCCAAAAGTCATTGTATTCAAATCGAGCAACTGGATTTTGAAAACTTCCATTTGAATACAGACAATAGCATATGCAAATCAACTACTTCACGTTCAAAATGAGTCTTTCACTTACCTGTTTGACTCGGCCTCATGGTGGTGGGTACCATACTCTTATCTTTTGAAGTTACAGGAGTGGACCCTGAAAGGGTTAACTGGGGAACTTTGGTAGGCTCGTTTCCAAATTTGTCAAGGATCTTCTTCGCCACCTTATAGGTTTCAGTTTCCATTACATTATCCAGTATCTTTTTCTTTTCATCCCTCAATTTGATCAACTTTTTTTCATTTCGCTGAATTTTCCGACTGTAGTACCAAGTCATGAAACTTTTGATTATCCATACTCTACGAATAATGTTATTGTGATTGTTTCAATACCTTCCGACGAAGAACTACTCACATTATTGGGAATGCAAAGATTGGTATGCAGTAAATCAACCTCCGATCCGATGAAAGTTTATTATAATAGTAAAAAAGGAATAAGGCCAAAAGTAAGTAGAACAAGACAGCTAGGAGAACAAATCTTCCGATTATCTTCTTTCTGAACTGTTCGGTGCTCCTCCCAAATTCCTCAATGGAAGTTATTTGTTCTTCTAATTTTTCCAGGATTTCAAAAGTGCTCTTCTTCTTCTAAAGAGTTTACCAAAACAATGTACTTCAAAAATGTATTCATAAAAGCCAAATTTTCGAAAACATTAACAAACACTTGAGAAAATTCTTCAGAAAACCTGTAGATCCTCCACAGATGTTACTTTCGGTTACAAACTAAAAAAAAACATGTGGAACAGGGAGGAAGTCCTCTTATGATATTGAATTACACCGTGATTTCTGTGCAATTCAAATTGATCTGAAAATTTCACTGAAGAGTTTGGTAATTGTAATATGATTTCTCCTCCTTGCTTTAGAAGTTCACTCTATAAATGAATGTAGAAATATAATGACAAAAAAGCTTTTTTTCATGAATTGTTCACACTTCAAAATAGTATCTGAATACATTAAAGATATAATGTACTCACCCTGAATTTTCCTATTATGATTCCCATTATGTGTAACTTCGTGAATGCTATATTTTTATAAATACGGTGGAATGAAACTGGTTTGCAGTGGGATAAAAACGTTCGGTAAAAATAGTTTTGTAATTTCCTATCCTAACCTAAAAGTTTAAAGCTTATTTGTGATAACGTCTCCTTTATGCATGAATATGGCTTGGATTATGTCTAAAATCCATTTTACTTGCCTTTGGATGCTTCAGAAATATCATTATCAGTTCACATCATTTTGTTACTCGAATTTGATTCAAAAAGTTTTTGTCCAATAAACGTCATCCCTTCATTAGCATAATCTTTAATTCATTTATAAATGTGACAGTTACCGTAAATGAGTAATCTCTTCGGGGATACTCGATTAAATAAAGGTGGGAAATCAAATATTCAGAGGAAAAGCTTGGATACATAGTTTCAAACAGAGTACTGAAGTTTTGGGAAGAGTTATGGTCCATCTCTACACTTTTTTGATTGTACTCTCTGATTTTCAATTTATAATGAATTGAAAATCATCTCACAATTTGCGTTCAATTGAAAAATAAAACTGTTCTTTTCCCATCTACGAAGATACCCGAACAAATTAAAAATATTGGTTGCGTTTAGGATGAAAAATCCAAAAGCGCTGTAGTGGAATAGCGTAGGGCGCTTTTTGAATCAAATAGACGATAATGATTATTTCTGGCTTCTGAGGTTCATTCATATCCGTTCCTCACAATATGTGAGATCTCGATCTTATTTGAAAATGAATTTTTGTAGTCACATGCCAGATTAGCGAAAATGAAGCGCTTCGGTTTCATATACCATCTCAGAGGAAGAAAAAATATAGAGATGGCCCTTCAATTTTCATGTTTTTTGTGCCTTGATCTTTGTAGACAACTGTAACGGTAATAGAAATCTGTCACTTATGGGATATAGGCAAGGGGAATGAGTGGATGTGCATTGTGTCCGCAAAAAAAGAATACGATCGTGTCCTATATTTACAGAAAAAACTAGATCTGACATCGTCTGTGATAGAGATTTGTTCACAAACAGACATTAAAAACAAAAACATAAAGTTTACCGGCTATATATTCATGATCATCACATTCTGACAATACCATTTATAAATGACAATGAAGTTATATCTGATAGTTAAAAAACGAATGCATGTTTACAGTTTAAAAATTGGGAAGTTTATACCATTATTGATATATATGTTTTTAATTACGTCCTATGCAGTAACGGTCTCCGTTAGTTAGGGAAGCCACAGATTATGCTGTAGACCACCCCTCCCGATATAGAAGGCCCCACACTCTGTCGAATAAGACCCTAATGTCCCCCGTTAACGGATGAATAACTTTCTCATCCATCCCACCCCAGCCAGGTAGGGGTATCCCGTGAAGGGCGGCACTGATGTCTAAGGACTTCATGCCGTCATCAAGCAGTCATGAACCCATTGGTCCCTCTCAAGACCAACAATCAGCCAAAAGGATAGGGGAGCTGGTCTCCAAACCTGAATAAAATCAAGATGGATTTCGTCTATGCAGTAACGTCGGTAATAACAGATTCTTCAGTCAAAATTGCCTAAGCGATTTAAAATGTCAGTTGGCAAAACTGACACGGTGACAAGGTGACACCAAAAATTTGTTATTTGTTATTTGTTTATTATGAATCACGCACTAGATTAAAGTTTATGTTCAAATTCAAACCACTTTGTTTCAATAATTACATGATGAAACATGATATCTAAGTAAAATCCGCTACAATGGCTTCCAAGGATAATCACGTGGTAGGAACAAACAAATCAAATGAACTCTTCAGAAAATATCAGGAATGATATTCTTTTGTTTCAGAGAAATAGGCCTCCACCACCTCGAAATGTTAGTAAAGAAATCGTCGGGGTGTGGACAGGATGGTGCTGCAAAGGAGACAAAGAAGTAGCCAGAGAGGCAGCTGCCAAAGGTATTCATGTAGACCTTGTTATACAATTTTTGGCCCTGAGGAGGAATGTGACGATTGAAGAAGCCCAGAACTACTTCAGAGATGAAGTAAGTGACTATGATTCTGTCTAGTTATTTTATAATGACGAAAAACAAAATGGGTTTACTACAGTGTTCCACATTAGGTCCTATTTTGTTTATTCTTTATGTGGATGGTGTCAATTCCAATTGAACTTGATGAAAAAGGTTACTATTGTATCGATAGTAATTTAAATTTTTTCTGTCATGATGCATAGATTTCATTCACTTCTAGTGTAAGCTGTTTTTATTTGTCAAATATTGTCAAATATCTCAGAGGCTTGAAAATATTTCTTTCCTTCAAGGTTTTCAAATGGGTGAAGGAATTACTAGATCGCAAGCAAATATTCAGAGTATCTCACATACTGAAAAATATTGGAGTAGATCCCCAAGAAGAGCTGTCCAAAGTTTTTTATAAGACTACTAATGTGGAACTCAGAGAATACATAGGAAACCATTTGGTAACCCAGAATGGTTTGGAGGAACATCTCAAACAACTTTGGAAATTCCTCGATCTCATTTCGAGGAATAATCTTTTGATATCAAAGTATAAATTACCAGAGGATAGTGTGGAGTGTTTGCACCAACAGAAATCGGAATGGAAGTCTGACATAGCTGCTAAGTTGTTTTTGAGAACACACGGTAAGTTTCCAACTCTTCCTTCAGATGTCTAAGGTTTTCAGACGGATTAAATTTTTCAGATATATCACTTTCCCCGTTTCTAACCGGAGAAGCTCTCTGGAAGCAACTTTTAGTTTACAATGACATCAAGTTATTGAAAATTTGGATAAACCTGAAATTCAGTGACAAATTGACAAGCTTTGACATATCTGAGAATCTCTCGAGTTTCTTCCACTCCCACTCTATCACAAACGAAATGATAAACCAATTGAACGCATCAGAAACTGCTGCAAATACAACGAATGCTATTTTGAACGAACTGAGCAGGTTCGGAATTTTTTGTGATGCGGAAATCAACAGTTTTCTAAACGTTTTATCTAGGCTGAATCAGTCTGAGAGTACAAAAAAAGTTTTTCGCATCATCAGAAAAAGTACTGCCAATCTAACCGAGCAACAGTTCTTGAATTTGCTAGTAGATTATTGTACTACTAATAAGCTAGGTGGAGTATTGAGCATTTGCGTTGAGAACTTCGACATTTCTCATCCCGATGTGACAAGAAGTACTGATCTGGACCTGATCTATAATTTTAGAGGGCTGACAAGGAATTTCAACCAAGACAATTTGTGTGACAACATACTCAAGGTGTCTCGCTATTTATCTTCTGACTTAGAGACTTACTACACAGACAACCCTATGATTTTATTGGCTTTGATTTTTTTCACGAAGACTGACGATTTTTTCGATATACTATCAAAAAAACGTGTCATAGTCTCAGACGTGGAATTGAACGAATCAGTGGTTAACTTGCCGCTCAGCTTGAAAACTCTGGGGGCCACCGTCAATAGGAAAACTATTGTTGAGAAGGGCAGCTTGACTTTCTACGACCTTCTAGAGAAACACTACAAGATTGACGTTAGAAAACTATTTTCTTTTCGCTTCGAAAGAACCAAACTGCCACATTTTGGGTCGGAAAATCTGATAGCTAAGCATGGATACTCGAAACAGCTGAACTACCAGTTTTATCTGAAGCAGTTCAGGCCCAGTATGGCTTGTAAGTGGTACCTCATAGACCAGTATCAACAGTACGATTGTATTCCTGAAGCTAATGTGAGGCAGTTGCAGAAAAAAGTCTACAAGATTGCTCTGAGGAACCTCAACAATGTCGAAACTGGATCAAGCTGTGTTGCATTTCTAGAAATGATTGGGATTAGTTCGAATTACCTCAAGGTAGCTTTGGGAGCAGCCAGTATTGTGTATGAGCACTGCAGGAGCCTAGAAACAGTTATAGAATTGTTCATGAATGTTGAAAATAATCCTGAAGCAATTACTGAAACCCTAGAGACAATTGTGATGGAGGAAATTGACGTTGAACGGTTTACTGAAGGGTCTTATTTTGTGCAGTCCATGAACCTTTACGATATAGTAGTGAATTTCACTGTATCATTCAACCTAAAACTTCCAGAAATGTTCTTAAGAGCTTGCGCAAGTAACAACATGTGGCTACCGTTACTGATCTTTGCGCAGCTGAAAAACTACCCTCTGGAACAAATAAAGCCCATAGTGCAGTCTTTCAAGAATCCCACTTTGCATGAGCACATCTACCACAGCGTCCTTCATGACATCTTGGTAGATGATCAGAATGTCTGGCTTAGAGATTCTAGAACTACTTATCTATCCAGGATTGGTCTCAGGAAGAGCATGGACAATTTGAGCCAGAGTGGGTCAGTCTACTCCAGCCTAGCGTCCCAATCCAGTTACGGAAGCAACGCCAGTTCTGGTGGCTCTGACTCTTTAGAGATTGATATTGCAAACACGAAGGCTACTCTGCTTCAGACTTTAATCAGATGTCACAACAGCACTGATCCACCTCGGGCTCTCTTGCAAGCCTGTCAACTGTATAGGAACCCCCTTCTTGCCATATTTGCAACAAGCTATGAGGTAAGAAAAAGTGATGTGAGTCCGGCTCGAAGGACCGAACTTCGTGCACCTCTGACTCATTTTCAGTTGAATTAAATACTTGAAATAATCATTGAATATTTATATTTTTAGCCTGACTCTGTGATAACGAATTGGCTTACATGGCTGGCAGTGTCGTCAGAGTTATATGAAACTTTTACAAATTTCGAATCAGTGGCTCTTTGTGCTCAGGATGTTTCTAATTTGATGGAGAATTGCATGAAGTATGGATATCCCAAAACGTTGCTGCAGAGTTTCAAGATTTTTATTCCGGTAAGTTTTGATGATAATGATAATATTGAAAACTGTGTAAAATTGAAAATATTTTCATACAGTTACAAGGAAGACGTCAATGGTCTTATAACTGGAATGAAAGTTACAACAAAAACCAATGAAAAACATAGCAACTCCCTAGTTCCCATTAAATGTTATAGCATTTTTTTTTTTCTATGAGAACACGCCCCAGGAAGCTATTGAACAATAGCGTGTTCATACTGCACGAACACGCCCAAAGAAGCTATTGAACAAAGCTTGTACATACTGTATGAGGACGATATTGAACAATAGCCTGAAGATAGTGTATGAACACGCCTGAGGAAGCTACTGAACAATAGCGTGTTCATACAGTATAAAAACGCCCGAGGAATCTATTTAACAATGTCGTGTTCATACTGTGTGAGGACGTTATTGAACAATAGCATGTTCTGACACGAATGAGGAAGCTATTGAACAATAGCGTGTTCCCCACGTCCGAGGAATCTATTGAACAATGGCGTGTTTGTACTGTGTGAACACGCTTGAGGAAGCTTCCGAACAATAGCGTGTTCAAACTCACGAACACGCCCTAAGAAGCTATTGAACAATAGCTTGTACATACTGTATAAGGACGGTATTGAACAATAGCCTGTTGATAGGAAGCCTGAGGAAGCTACTGAATAATATCGTGTTCAAACTCACGAACACGCTCTAAGAAGCTATTGAACAATAGCTTGTACATACTGTGTGAGGACGGTATTGAACAACAGCCTGTTGATAGGAAGCCTGAGGAAGCTACTGAACAATAGCGTGTTCATACTGTATAAATACGCCCGAGGAAGCTATTTAACAATGTCGTGTTCATACTGTGTGAGGACGTTATTGAACAATAGCATGTTCTCACACGACCGAGGAATCGATTCAACAATAGCGTGTTTATACTATATGAACACGCTTGAGGAAGCTTCTGAACAATAGCTTGTTCCTTACGCCTGAGGAATCTATTGAACAATAGCGTGTTCATACTATGTGAGGACGTTATTGAACAATAGCATGCTATCACACTCCTGAGGAAGCTATTAAACAATAGCGCGTTCCTCACGTCCGAGGAATCTATTGAACAATAGGGTGTTCATACTGTATGAACACGCCCCAGGAAGCTAATGAACAATAACGTCTTCATACTGTATGAACACTCGCGAGGAAGCTATTAAACAATCGCGTGATCATACTACGTAAGGACGTTTTGAAAAAATAGCTTGTTCTCACACGCTTGAGGAAGCTTCTGAACAATAGCGTGTTCCTCACGCCTGAGGAATTATTTGAACAATAGCGTGTTCATACTGTATGAACACGCCCCAGGAAGCTAATGAACAATAACGTCTTCATATTATATGAACACACGCGAGGAAGCTATTAAACAATCGCTATTGAACAGTAGCGCGTTCCTCACGTCCGAGGAATCTATTGAACAATAGCGTGTTTATACTGTATGAACAAGCTTGAGGAAGCTTCTGTACAGTAGCGTGTTCCTCACGCCTGAGGAATCTATTGAACAATAGTGTTCATACGATGTGAGGACGTTTTGAAAAATAGCATGTTCTCACACGCCTGAGGAAGCTATTGAACAATAGCGCGTTTCTCACGTAGGAGGAATCTATTGAACAATAGCGTGTTTATACTGTATGAACAAGCTGTTGTACAAAAGTATTACCTGAATTCAGCCTGAAGTATTTTCATTAATATCGTGAATTTCCATTTTCCTTTTTGTGAAGGCGGTTTATTTCAAGTTATTTTTAATACCTCCATAAAATTTTTAAAAAATTTCGTTCCAAAAACATTTCACTTATTTTTTCCAGGCTAATCCACTCAAACATTTCCTAGAATTTCTAAACGTATGCATCAATAAAAACTTCGATAAAACTGTTCTGGTGTCCAAAGTGAATGCTTTCAGCAATTCCCTACACAAATGCCGCAGATACAGCGTTCTGTCATCAGAAACCGACCACGAAATGACGTATCTCAACAATAAAATTTGGCTCAAGACCATGGCTTTACGCCTGCTTTCGCTAGCTATCGAGTACAATGTGAAATCCTTGTACGAGCAGATTGAATTGTTGAAGTCTCTGTGCGAAATCGAACTGGAAGCTTGCTTGAAGTGCCCGGAGTTGAAAAGCTTGCTCGAGATACTGCAGATCGTTTACGACTCTAAATGCCCTCAGAGGTTCGACATTGTTCTGTTTTTCGATGAGAGGAATGGAAGAAAAGCCGTTGTGGATTGCCTGGAGGCCTTGGTTGGTGCTTCTTTGTTTGAGCACGCTTTGAAACTGGCTCGAACTGAAAAACTACCAGCGGATCTGATCCTTATCAAGCAGTGGCAGCACAACTACGAACATCGTCGACAAGAAGACTCTGACTTCTGGCAGAGAGCTGACGAGCAGTTCAAGGTAGAGAACGTCACTGCCGATTGCGTTATAGAGTTCTACTTGAGCTACCTGGACAAGGTGGAATCCGGCTTGGAGAAGTACCAGCTGCTGAAGCTGTCCTACGAGTGGGCCAGGGGTTTCGAACTATCCAGCAGATTCGACTTGGAGAAGAGGAAATGGCTCGCCTACGTCGCTCTGGAGGATAAGTGGAGGTCCGACAGCGACCTACTGGATGAGGTTGTTGAAAACATGTCATTCAAGGAAATAACATCCCTGCTGAAGCGCGTCACCAAGTACGATGGCGAGTTGTCAGCGGCAGTTTCGGCCTCGCTCAAAGCTATGGTGAATGATGCTTTGAACGTTGGGAATTTGTGGCTGGCTCTGAAGATAGAGAAGATATTTGGCTGCGGCAATGCAAGTTTGGAAATTTTGAAGCTTTGCTTTAGTCTGGCCGAAGGTCTGATATTGCCTTATCAGTTGAATACCGAGCAGAGGTTGTTGTTGGCTAAGGGATCCCAGTTGAGGAGATTAGGACACAGAAGAGGCGTGCTTTCATCAAGAATGTCAGGACTCAGCGGTAAGTTTGTTATTTGATTGATGCAACAAGTTTTCCTTTATTTTCGGTATTTTAATATTAATATTTGTTCACAAAAAGGATTTGAAGGTTTAATAATTTCTGCGAGCGCTTCTGACAGAAGGCTGTGCTATCATCTTCATGGCTCTATTCAAACTGAACGTTTTATCTTCTTGTTTGTTCTTCTATAAGGTTACAACGCCTTCATCCGGATGTCCCTTAAATTTAAAACATAGGTTAGAGAGTTCTTCATCAGCAGTGGTTCTCAACCTGGGATATGCGTATTCCTGTTGTTGCCAGTGGGTTCGTGAAAAGAAGAGTGGAATGGTGGTTTCTATATGGTGTGTTTGAAAAAAATTCAGTATGGTAGAATTTACAGTTATTTCTGTGCATTTTATGGTCACACCAAATAAGAAAGGCCTCTTTGACTTCATTTTTCTTATGCTAGAAGGAAATAGGACTTTATAAGGATTTCAACCTAAGATGTATAGTATTTCCAATATCAATTGGAACAGCACAGAGAAGGAATTCCCGCCTCGACATAGGCGCCGGCATATTATTTTTCAGTGGTAGTTTTTCAGTTACTTATTTTTACAATCAAAGCAATTGATCACTCCATGAAAAAGTTATCTCAACTGAATTTTTCCACCATGGGTAATTATGAAAAACTTTGAAATTCAAGGTAGTTGATTTCAGAGTCGAAAACTCTAAAATACAATAAAAACACAAATAATCACACCGATTTCTCGTCAAACATATATTTACAAAATAATAGAGGCCAGCAAAATTGCTATAAAAATCAAAATTCTTCTTCGCTATATTCGGATGAGGTGGAATCATCATCGGGTTGAATAACAATTGGATTTATGGAACTTTGCACATAATATTTGTTGTCGTCTTTAATAACGTGAACTTTGCACATATTTGTTGTCTTCTTTTATAACGTGGACCACACAGTTCTTCCACACGGCACTATTACCTACTTTATTCACCACTCGCCTTATATTGTCAAGCACTACAGCATTCAAAGTCGGTGACTGATTACATTTCCGCAAGCTTTCTTTCATTGTGGCCCAAACCCTTTCAATTGGATTGAACACACAATAGTATGGAGGCAAACAATAGATTAAAAAGCAGTCAAATTAATTTGCAGGTAGTGGTTCCACTAGTTAATTACCGAACAATCAATTAGGATAATCATCATTTAACAAACAAAGTCCACATCGCACCAAAAAACTTTAGATATATAAACAACTAACCCTTGTCTTTAGATTCAGTATCAATTTGCTTCTCCTGAAGATGCTAACCTTGTTAGCGAGACGCCCGTCGAGTGCAAAAAATCAGTTTGGTGTTAGGGTAATTGATCTCTAGAAAAAGTTTTCAAAAATCGGTTTGCAAAACCACTCACCACCTCACCTAACCCCACACACACGGCACTGGTAAAGAAATATTGTGAAACGGACAAAAAAATTAGTATTCAGCCAGTCCAGCCAGCCGAGCCTTTGCTCCTCAACTATATTTGATAGCACGTTTATGACTGTACTCTTATTTTTATTGCCGTTCCAATTGGGAATGGATAGACTATACAATTAGTGAAAATATGTTTTCAAGGGATACGCGACGAAAAAAAGGTTGAGAACCACGGTTCTACAGGAATAGAAAAATAATGACAAATTTAGACTGTTTTATAAATAAAATTGACACACGACATATCTCGCTACTTGATGCAATAGTTGTACCAATAATCATTTGAATCAAAGAGTGGTTTTGTTTTTCCTCGTAGGCTCGCATTCCTCAACGGGTTCTACCTACCTTTCACAACTTGACTACACCGATTCTTCAGTCCAAGATACACTGGCAACTTTATGCATGTTGGCTGAAAAATTGACCGCCGGTATAGAAATGGGTCAGGCGGTGTTCATGACATACCGTATTAGCCTCAACATTGAAATACCGTATCACCTAGTCGTATCTACTGGAGACTCTATGAAAATGCTGAAGGACGCACTGGAAGATGACTGCTTGAATAAATTGGAAGTCGTTCACGATTTTTTCTGTGTTTATAAATGGTCCAAAGAACAGGTAAGCACTGAAGATATCGTCTGTGTTAAAAACGTTGGTCTAGACTTGAAGGATGATTGGGAAAGAAATGATGTAAGACTGAAACTTGAAAAGAAAAACATTGTTAGACCAATTATAATTTGGAATTTTATTTGGAACCTTAGGTGATGATAGAACTGTAGAAAGTAAAAATAATTGCATGACTGAGTCACAGTAGAATAATACAACCAGTGATCCGCCTGAGTTGCCGGGGACCTTCAACCGCTCTTGGGATGAGATTCTCATCCTACGCGTTCAGTGCTGTAGTATCAAAGGATCCGACGGTCCACGGGCATCGGATAATAAACGGTCGGAAATTGATATTGTGTTTAGTTTATTCGCTGTTGTTATTATTGTTTTTAGTAAATTTCGTTTTTATATGAGCGCACTCCTATGATAAAAGAACGAAATTGGCTCCACACTTTGTTTCGAGGTCACCGAGAACTTTGTGAATTAATGAATGAAAGTAAGTGGGAGTGGACTTAATGGTTGATTTTTACTATGACTGAGTCTTCAATGGCAAAGTTCTTCATATTTATAACTAGGTATGAAATGCGGTGTACAGGGTGTTACCTAATTGCGGTAAAAAATTCAAGGATGTGTTCAGGAACTAATTTTCCAATATACAGGGTGTTGAAGTTTTCCGAATAATTTATTTTCTGCATTGAAGTAGCTTGTGTGTTTTGTGTTACGTTGGCAAAAGTGTATTAATTCAAATAGCTCTTATTTCGATTGAATTGAAATCATTCTTCAAAATATTACAGTTTAAAGTAGAATCATAAAAGCGCACAAAAATTTTGAAACAACCAAATCATTTTCTTAGGTTCATGTTTGGCTTGTAAAATGCACCATGTGATTGGCAAAGGATAACGGATTAGATTTGTACAAAAAATAATTGAAATTTATTAATTGTTTTTGTACCTACTTGTTACTGTGGATAAAAAGTCTAAAGTATAATAATGATTGGAAGGAATTTAATACTAATCAGGCCTGAATATAAGCTTTATTGAGTATAAAAAAATCGGAATCCATACTGCATATCTCTTGATAGTTATATTCTGCTTTAAATCCGCTCAACAATTATAATGAATATATACTAAAAATTATTAAAAAAAACTGTTAATTTCTCTCAGCAAATGATTTGTATTTTGAATTCCCTTCACATACCTGTTTGTTGTTTAGTGTACTGCTAATTATAAACAATTAGATTCTTTTTAGGAATCAGTATTGCCAATAATGGGGAATGTTCCTCCTGACGAAAATCAAGTAGTTTTCATAAAAGAGCAAGAAGAAAAACGCATTTTAAACTTATTATTTCAACCATTTTCTTAAAAAAAATATTTAAATACTTAAAAAAGAGGAATGAAATGATGCATTCAACATTTAAAGGGATTCGTTTCTATAATAAAGGACAAAGAATCTGTTACCTGTATGAGACAAACAAAGATGAATTATTTCAGAGGCGTGCTGTTCTGTTTACTTATGTTTCGAGTTCCAAAACATTCTGTGACATATGACATTTTGAGCACCTAACATATCTTCATCTATATAAATAAATAACAAAACAACTGTTGTTTATGTGGCTTGTGGAGGTGGTATTGAACTATAATTTATATTTTGCCTCGATTGTTGATTTATAAAGATAATTTTCCTTTTTTAAAGTAGAATATCTAGCTAGGTACGTATAAATTATTCCAACTTGATATAGGCGCTGTTGTCAATATGTTAATTAGAAACAAATCCCTTTAAAAATTAAAACCCAACATTTGAAACATCAGTTTGAATACTTTTCGAAGTGAATTTGAAAAACACATGAATTAAACTCGACTTTATTTTGTTCAAACTTGCATTTTAAATCTGTTTAAAATCTGTTTTTACAATTTGGGTTATTACAGCTTCTGCTGTAATAACCCAAATTGAGGAATATTCCCCATTGTACCTGCATTTGCTCATTTTATAAAGGCCAACGTTGATTGTAGACTCTACCATTTGGATTTGCATTTTCAGATGGCAGATTTTATCTGTGAAGAAATAATAAATGCTGTTACCAAATTCGTCCAATCCAAATCCGAGCCGTACACAATGTGGGACCTAAAGTTAGACCAAGAATTCCCGATGGTTCTCCAGCTCCTGCAAGAAAACTGTTCCGTACTTGGCTACAAAATCTACGCATATGCCAGCGCGATCCACAAATCACAAGTTCTAGCAGATCTAGATTTCAGAATAAGCGAGCTGGCTCTGGTTATAGAGCTGCTGGTTATATCTCACGACTGCTTCACTGCAGACTGCAACATGGAAGGAATATCGATCATCCTGAAGAAGTGCCAGGCTGTTATTTCCCACTTGCTCACACTGCGGAGCTGGAAGCTCATCGTGAGGCTCTTCACTGGCGTGGGCCGGTACACGGAGATGAACTACGTGTTCCAGATCTTGAGAGAGAACGATCAGTTCGAGTTTCTGCTGAGGAAAGGCTCCAGGAAAGACAACGGACTGAAGGCGGCTCTGTTGGAGTACCTCAAAAAGTACTGTCCGGACAATAAGGAGCTGTACAAGATCGTCGGGCTGCATTTCACTTTGTTTTCTGAGGTGGCGTTGTTGTGGGAGCGAGAGGCTCAGAGCGTCATCAGGAATCTGATCGATATTTCGCGCTTTGAAATGCAGAATAACAGGATTAATCCTGACGCTGAGCCATTTATCCTGTTTAGCAATACGGACGGGACTAGAATATGTTTGAATAAGGTTGGTATTGGGATAAATTAGGGTTTAACTCGGGATTGAGATGAAATTAAGTAAATGTAGATAGTCCATAATTCAACTGAAAATTGAAACAATCTATTTCGATAACCAAATTCAAGAAGTGAATCAAAATCACACAAGGTAATTTTTGTAATCCCGAATTTCAATTAAACATATATTAAACATATAGCTTGGGAGACGATGAATACGAACGTCCAAAAACTGCAACTACCGACGAAGACATCGTCAAAGTTCACCAAATGGTGCTAGACGACCGCCGAATTGAAGCGAGAGAGACAGCGGAGGTTATGAACATGCCAAGAAAACGTTTAGGCATGGGAAAGCTGTTCGTGCGTTGGGTGCCGCGGTTGCTCACGTTAGACCAAAAACATGTTTGAATGAACATTTCCTACGCTCTGTTGACGCAGTTTAGGAGCAGTGAATCCGAGTTTTGGCGCCAATTAATTTAGATGAAACTTGGATACACCATTATACGCCAGTAACAAAAATAAAGCCGTAACAGTGGACTGCAAAGGGGAAACCGGCTCCAAAAACAAGCAAAAACTGTTTTTTGGCTGGGAAAGTGATGGCGACTGTTTTTGGGGATAGTCAATTTTCTTCAAAGAGAAAAAATTATTTCAGAAGCATACTACGCATCATTACTTGACAAGCTGAAGACAGAACTTGCGGGAAAACGGCCACATTTGCAGAAGAAGAAAATCCTGTTTCATCAAGACAACATACCGCCTCACTCCTCAACGGTTGCCATGGAGAAAATCCTCGAATTACGGTTTGAACTGCTTGACTATCCGCCTTACTCACCAGATCTAACCCCTAGTGATTTCTTTTTGTTCCCTTATCTGAAAATTGCGCTTGGAGGACAGAGATTTTCGTCAAAAGTGGAGGCAATCCCGTCGTGAACAATTATTTTGCAGAGAAAAACGCAGAGTACTATTTGAAAGGTTTACAAAGATGGGAGCATCGCTGGAAGACTGTGTTGAATATTTAAGAAAGTCTGAACAAATTTTTTGTGTCTTCGTTAGCTCGAAAATTTTTAAAACTTCCTAGTAGAAAGCAATATTAGGGTTAGGAATTAGTTTTCTTCATCTGTTGAAGACGCCAACTTGGTTAGTGAAACGCGCGTCGAGAATAGTATTTCATTAGAAAAAATAACGAATTGTTTATTGATTCAACAACAGCTTCAAATAAATACAGTCTGGTCATAGTCTTACAACTGCCACGTAAAAATATCACAGAGAGCATCGATGGAATGTGAAACTGGAATATAAAAATTTGACCTCTGATCAGCAACTGGACACTCAAATATGGCGAATTAGTGTCTATTGTGTGTCCTCAGAAATGTAATTCAAGAGAATGTTATACAAACTAACCTTTAAATTTTAATACAAAGTGATCCTATAAGAAACCTTCCCATTCGCCATGTATTCTGACTTCCCCTGTGAAAAACCTCTTCCGCTCGGTAAACCAAACAGCATACAGGGTGTTTGGAGTCTACGAAGTTGTTTGGGGTCTACTACGGTGTTTGAGGTCTACTACGGTGTTTGAGGTCTAGCACAGTGTTTCGGGTCTACCGCGTTGTTTGGGGTTTACCACGGTGTTTGGGGTCTACCATGTTTGAGGTCTACCGTGGTGTTTGGGGTCTATCACGATGTTTGGGATCTGCCACGATGTTTGGGATCTACCACGATGTTTGGGGACTACCAGGTGTTTGGGGTCCATTACGGTGTTTGGGGCCCATTGCGCTGTTTCGTCTTCAAAAAAGCTTTTCAAAAATAATTTCATTAGTTTTGAATGAAACTTCCAATTGTTTTCTTCTTAGGCCCTCGATAATGGTGTACAAACTAACCTTTAAATTTTAATACAAAGTGATCCTATAAGAAACCTATCCATTCGCTATGTATACTGACTGCCCCTGTGAATAACCTCTTTCACTCTGTAAACCAAACAGTTTACACAGTGTTTGGGGTCAACGACGGTGTTTGGGGTCTACGAGGTGTTTGGGGTCCGTTACGGTGTTTACACTCCTCTACGGTGTTTGGGGTCTGCTACGTAGTTTGGGGTCTGCTACGGTGTTTGGGGTCTACCATGGTGTTTGGAGTCTACCACGGTGTCTGGGGTCTACCATGATGTTTGGAGTCTACCACGGTGTTTGGGGACTACAACGGTGTTTGGGGTCTACTAGGTGTTTGGTGTACATTACGGTGTTTGGGGTCCGTTACGGTGTTTGGGGTCCGTTACGGTGTTTGGGGTCTACTATGGTGTTTGGGGTCTGCTACGGTGTTTGGAGTCTACCACGGTGTTTGGAGTCTACCACGGTGTTTGGGGTCTAAAACGGTGTTTGGGGGGTCTAAAACGGTGTTTGGGGGTCTACCACGGTGTTTTCATTGAATTTGAGGTTATGTTAAGACTATTCTTCCGATATGTTCTAGGTCTAGAATTCTTTCTTGCAAGTACACCTTTGAGAAACTCGGGAGACGTAATCAGAAAACTTTCAATACAGCAGAATTCTTCAAAAAAGCTTTTCAAAAATAATTTCATTAGTTTTAAATGAAACTTCTAATTGTTTTTTTCTCAGGCTCTCGAAAATTATACCCACGCCACGGAATTCCATCTGCAGGGTGAGAAGTTAGCTAAGGCCATGAATGCTGCCAAGCAAGCTGAATTGATAGCGTTACAGATGTCTTTGTTGAAGAGTTTGCCGGTAAACAAAAGTGCTGTCTGCCTCCTGAATCTCAACCAAGCCCAAGTCGTGAGCTTGATTTCCAATGAACTGAGGTGAGCTCGCAATGTTTTGTTGGGTGGTGGTGCTTTTGTAATGATTATCCAGCTTGATTTTCCCAACATATATTTATTTTTAATTGCATGTGTCCGCATTTCCCCAGTATTTTAGTATGTCTAACAGAAATGAAAAAATAACAGAGAGTACTAAAAATTAAACCTTTTTACGAAGATTTTGTCAGACCTTGTTATCTTGCTCCTTTCAAAAGTTAAGGAGGGGGACTATTCAAATCCGCGTTATATAATTCTTGTGTGATGAGAAAATCAATAGTTTGTTTCAGAATCACTGTATGATAGAATATAATATATAGTAGTATGTGTGTATAGGAAATCAACGGAGCTGTATCGAAAGGATATTTTGTGGAGTCCCACAAGGATCTACTCTTGGTCCTGTTTCGTTTATCATCTACATTATGTTAATGGCACAATTTGAAATTTATTTAATTTTTAGACCATTTTGAGAGTATTTAAAATTGTATGACACTCCAAAAAAAAATATGGAAAATGGTATGCAGCCTAGTCATTTGTTTTTTTTTTTTGCACGACTTAGAAAAATATAATAGTAACTTGCAGAGTTCGAATTTTAAGATGGTCTCAGTGTACAAAAACTGAATTCAATTTGAATTTTAAGACAAAATCTCAGAGAAATTAGGGCGGAGGTCTCTGTACCCACCGACTGTAGACTTTTCAAAACCTATGTAGGTGATTTAAAGGAGTTATTAACTGACTAATGCCAATTGACTAACTTGACATACAAAATGTTGATCTTTTATTGTGTTTTTCCCCTTACCACAATGTTAATGTTTGGTTATATGTTTGTTATAAATATCTTCCTTCAACTTTTCTCATCTCCTTTGGTCCTCCTATTTACCTATGAACATTTTCTTTGGTGATTCTATAAGTCACAACTGTGTGTGAAAACCTTTCCAGTCTTCTTCCAATTGTTTTCCCTATTCCTTCTTATGACATGTTCTCCAGCCATGCATCCCAGGTCTCTTTTGGTCTTCCTCTCCTCCTTTTCCATGCTGATGGTCTTGAATTCCAACCATGCTTATTTGCTTGGTATATATCGATATGTGAAAAAACTAAATCCTAACTCTAAAACAGGGTTTCACTTTCCAAAACACATCAATGATTTCGGGTTGAAATTTGCGGGAAATTTTCTCGTGATAGTTCCCGCTAATTTCAACAGAGTGATTCATGGAGAGGTAAACAATTGGATTTTTGAAATGGAAGTTTTCATTTATTCTTTGGCGACACTAGATTTTTCTGGTCTCTGAAATAGTATATGTGCTGCGGGTTCCTTAAAACAATTTCAATGAAATCATCTAAAAGAACAATTCGTTCAGGCCAGTCTCAACACCCTACACAGTAGGTTAATGGACTGACACCTATCAGAAAACAACTACTCCCCTGAAAGAATAGGTTTGCAGCTATCACGATAAATCATATCAAAAATCAGTCTTATAATGCGCTTTTGGGCAACAAATATTTTATTAAAATCTCTACCGCATCCCCATGACATTATATTCCGCAAATATGCGGATATGCCATTGCAAAATATATACTTGAGAGATTTTTTTTATCTACAAGCACATTTCATCTGCTCAATCGCGAAGAATGCTGCATTAAGTTTCTTGCAAACCTCATCAATATGTAGATCCCAATCAAAAGGTTCATCTAACATGGTTCCTAAAAATTTAACATCATGTGCCATGGCTATTCCATCAGTTATATCAACTCCATCTGGAATGTTATTTTTTCTATTATAAAATTTCATTGAAACAGATTTGGAGGTATTCAATATCAAATGATTGCATTCACACCATGACGTAAATCTATCAATAACCTCTTTGACTCTTGTTAATACATCTTCCAGTGTAGACCCAGTGATTGTCATTGTGATATCATCTGCAAACATAGTTATGTAGCAATTGTTAACATGTTCTGAGAGTTCATTAACAAATACCACAAAAAGTAAAGGTCCCAGTACTGATCCCTAAGGTGCACCTTCAGTGTTGAGAAAAATGCTGTCAGGGTTATAACTGAAAACAACGGTTATTCTTCAAATCTAGTAGATGAGTTAATTGGGAAACATAAATTTAGAAAGAATGTTTGTAAACCTTAGACTCGAACAAAAGTCATAGATTCAAAGTATTGAAAGTCTGGAAATGTAAAGTGTGGCAAGCCAATTATGAACAGTGACAAGGGTCCCATACCAAACAGCCCATTGCTTGCCTTTTTATGAATCGCTCTGTTGAAATCAGCGGGAAAATGTCCCTCAAATTTACAACCAAAATAAATGATGTGTATCGGAAAGAGAAAGTGTTGAATCTGGTTATTGCGAAAAGTGCTTGTTTTTGGACACGTTAATCAGCATAATCGAAGTATCGAGCAAAAACGCATTCTTGGACACCCTGTAGAGACAATATCAAATCTGATTCGGATTGTAACATCCCGTTTTCGCAGTTTCGACCAAACTCTCATCCTAACCCAGGCGTACAACTATCAACCGGACTGGAGCTCCGTCCTGTTTGAGCAGTGCGTCATCAAAAACAACCTCAGCTACCTGCAGTCGTACATGAAACACCTCTCGCTGACCGACAACAACGTCGTCCACGACATCTCGCGGAAGTTTCTCGCGGCTAACCTGAACGGCTACGAGGAAATCAACAGTATGAAGAGCATCTTGCACAAGCTGCCCTCCGTCCATGTGAAGTACAGGATAGCTAGCGAGCTGGGCTTCACGGACATGGTCGAGGATCTGATTCAGGGTGGGCAGCTGGCGTATTTGAAGGATACCGTGTGGAAGAAGGGGTATAAGAGTTGAGGGAGGGGGTGGCTGTGAAATATAGAGGGAGTCTTGGAAGTTTTCTGTACACGGAAAACTTCTTCGTTGGCGGTTTGTCATGAACTGTTATTCTTCGTGGAAGGTTCAGGGTGATCTGAAATGCAAACACCAATTGTGAAATGTGAGAGAAAGTCTCCTTTAAAATACAGGGAAAGGCAACAAAATTAATACGCTCAAGAATGAGGTTACAAATTATTTAGCGAGTCTTCAGGAACTACGTAGAAAAATTCATGAAAATTATTGGTAGGAAAATTATGAAAATCTGTCAGTCTGTGAACGTTGTTGGGGTCATTTCAGTCGAAAATATTTCAGTATCAACATATTTCTGATTATTTACATCAGTTTCTAGATCTATGTTGCATAGTTTTCAAAATATATGGCATTTCATATAGGAAATGATTTTTGCAGGGCCTTTTTCATTTCAATAAGTTGTGATGTTTATAAAACAAACGAGAATGATTATTATTGATTGAGAAAATTATTGTATAAGTTGTATTATGTTGAATCATAAAGTACATTTTATTAGTTATTGTTAATTTAGATGTTCATCAAGTGTTATATAAATCGAATATTTTGAAAATTATATGAAATATCATAGAGGTTATCTAGAAATTAATGTAGGATATTAATACAGAGTGTTCCATTCAAAGTTACAGTTCGAACCTACTGTGAATACAATGGAAAACATTTTAGATGTATTATCCTCACAATATCCCCCAAATTTTCATAATTTTCCTATTTATAATGTTCACAACATAAATCGTCTCCAAAACTATGTAGATGTTTCGCTTTTTCAAACAAACTGTAAAATTCCTTAACCTATATATTATGTAGCGAATATCACTACCGATACATGATAAAACATATTCAAAAGACACACTTCGATGTGAGATTTTCACAATACTGTGAATTGTGACGCCCGAAGGTGCGTCACAATACTGTATTGTGACGCCCGTATATGCGTCACAATACTGTGTATTGTGATGCCCGATGATGCGTCACAATTCTATGTATTATGATGCATGATGATGCGCCACAATTCTATGTACTGTGATGTACAAAGATGCGTCACAATACTGTGTATTGTGACGCCCGATGATGCGTCAAAATTTTATGTATTGTGATGCCCGATGATGCGTCACAATTACATGCATTGTGATGTACAAAGATGCGTCACAAGAATGTGTATTGTGACGCCCGAAGATGTTATTGTATAGCGAAACAGATGTCACGGTGAAAATATCACATTAAATTTTATCTTTTGAATACATCACTATAGGTGTCGCTATGTGACATTTGATCGAAGAGTAAAGTGCTCATAATATTTCCATCAAATCGCACATCAAAAACATTTTTTCTCAGCTTTTCATTTCATCTTCCCCCATATGACGAGATTTTTTCTCCATATTCTATGCTTTTGCGTTTGAGACGTTATTTTTTTTATCAGTGTATTTTTTATCTCTTCTTTTGACGAATTTATGTAGATTGTCTGGCAGTTCTATGAAGGTGTGTATGGTATTCTTTCCTGGTACCAAAAATAATTATATACAGGGTGAACCATAATGAACCCGAAAAAATTGAGGAGCTAAACCTGTAACATCAGTGTAAGACGAAATGTAATACAACATATTTCGTACTCTGGAATACTTTTTTACAATTTTTGACAGAATTCTTAAAATTAGGTTACTTTCGACTCATTTTTGAATATTGAAAGGCCTGTTATTTTAGTAAACTAAATGGCTTAAAATTTGCCACTATTTTAGTTTATAAACAACTCAAGAATCTGTTAAAACAGTGTTTTTTTAATGAAAAGTTCATTTTTATATCGTCAAGATCTTATGTAATTTCAAATTTTGTTCAATAACTAATTTTTATATCTCAAGCATTTATTTGAGAGTTCTGATCACGAACATTTCAAGTGAAATTTTCGTTGCTGATGAAAATGTACAGTCTCATAAACATGGAAAAAGCGATGTTATAAATACCAAGCGGTGATGGCCCTAAAATGGTTCTTTGAGGTTTTCTTCATTAACTTTCTATAGATAGAAAGTGTGTGGTCTGTTTCATTCCCCAGAATTGAATTATGAAATGAATTTATAGAATAACACTAGAATTTTAATTATCAGAATTCGAATTGATGAAGAAATAGGTCTGACTCAAAGAAACTGATCGAATTAACTTTAGTGCTGTATTTGAAACGTCAATTTATCAATGTGAATAATAAGAGTGGGATTACAGTATAGTAGATAAATCTGGAAAATCTGAATTTTTTTCCTAAAAGTGATCCGGATAACTGGAGTTTCACCATATTGAGTTATTTACCAGACTCATCATAAAGCAGATTTTTTTCAGAAGCTCAATTGAATCGTGTTTTTTTTTCATTTGATTTTAAATAGTGTTTGTGATTTTTCGAATAGTAAGTAAATGGAATATTTTTCACAAATATCAAAAACGTTAGCAATAGAAACTGATTCTTCAAAGCATCCTTTATATTTGATTAATTTTTCGTGAGGTGATTGTATGTTGCAATATATGAAAGTATTATACCAATGATCTAGTACCAAAGATGTTTGATATTTTATTCGATTTGATGTGATTCTATGATATGACTGGACGAGTTGCTGCTAGATTATTTATACTTTTAAATTGTTTTAAGTTTATATATGTTATAACCAATTAACTGATTCTCCTCCTATATTTGATTGAGTTTGTGTTTGTTGTTTTCTATGCATCACACAGATACTGTTAAGTACAAAAGATGATTTTCACAAGACAAGTTTATTTCTATTTTCTAGCAAGTAGCTTGGATAATTTCAAACTTCAGCGAAAACAACGACTTTAAAAATAGCTGAACATTTATTGTCTCCTGCTTTCCTGCAATCTGAATGTATAGTACAAAATATAGCACTAAATTTGAGGATATGATCATAAAACAAACCATGAAAATTTAGTTCATGAGTTGCTGTTTTTGCTGAAGTTGTATTTCAATTTAAATTTTAAGAGTAGTTTGTAGGTACCAAGTTGTGCGTTTTTAATTTAGCACTCTTGTTAGAATAGCTCTCTCTAATAGAAACTGAAAATATTTTCAAAATCAGTTTTTGGAATTGATGAATAGTTGATGAACTTCTTGTTCTCGCTACGGGGACCAAAGCGATGCCATAATTTCCCTGTATGAATATTTTATGATTTGTTTTTTGTTGACAGTCTAAATTTTTACAAGCGTTTACTGTGATAAATGATGATGCGATTATTATATATTTCATATATTACATTATTGTTTTAGTAAAGAACAACCCTGACTATGGAAGCGCAAAAGCCATATACTTTCATTATTTGTTTCTTGAAAATGGAGACTTTCAAACTCGGAGTTTCGACTTTAATCTCTAAATGTTGACTTTAATCTCTAGAATTTCGACTATAATTGTAAAATTTCGACTCCCATATCCTGTAATCTCCAAAGCTCAACTTTAATCTCCAAAGTTCAACTTTAATCTTCAAATTTCGACCGTAATCTCCAAACTTCGATTTGACTCTCCAAACATCGATTTGACTCTTCAAACATCGATTTGACTCTTCAAACATCGATTTGACTCTCCAAACATCGATTTAACTCTCCAAATTTCGATTTCATTCTCCAAACTTCGACTCCATTCTCCAAACTTCGACTCCATTCTCCAAATTTCGATTTCAACATCCAAATTTCGACTTCAATCTCCAAATTTCGTCTTTTATCTCCAAATTTCGTCTTTTATCTACAAATTTCGTCGTTATCTCCAAATTTCGTCTTCAATCTCTAAATTTCGTCTTTAATCTCCAAATTTTGTCTTTAATCTTCAAATTTCATCTTTAATCTCCAAATTTCGTCTTTAATCTCCAAATTTCGTCTTTAATTTCCAAATTTCGTCTTTAATTTCCAAATTTCGTCTTTAATTTCCAAATTTCGTCTTTAATTTCCAAATTTCGTCTTTAATTTCAAAATTTCGAATTTAATCTCCAAATTTCCACTTTAATATCGAAATTACTACTTCAATCTCAAAATTACGACTTTAATCTCAAATTTATGTCTTTATACTCAAAACTTTGGGATTATTTGCGAAATTTCAACCCCAATCTAGAAATTTCGACTTTAATTTCAAAATCACGACAATAATCTCGAAATTTCGACTTTAATCTCCAAATTTCAACTTTCATCTCCCAAATAAATTTCGACTTCAGTCTCCAAATGTCGACTTTAATGTCGAAATTTCGACTATATTCTGAAATTTCGACTTTGGTCTCGAATTTTTGACTCTAATTTCGAGTTTACGACTTCAATTTGGAAATTTCGACTTCAAACTTCTAATTTCGACTTTAAACTTCTGATTTCGACTTTAAACTCGTAATTTTGACTTTGAACTCGTAATTTTGACTTTACTCTCGAAATTTTGAGAGTAGTAATTTCCAGATTAAAGTCAAAATTACGAGTTAAAAGTCGAAATCACAAGTTTGAAGTCGAAGTTACAAGTTCAAAGTGGAAATTACAAGTTCAAAGTCGAAATTTCGAGATTAAAGTCGTAATTATTAAAAAAAAGTCCAAATTTCATGTTCAAAATTGAAATTTAAAATTAAAATATCGAGGATAATTTCGAAATTTTGAGTTAAAAGTCGAAATTTAGGGATTAAAGTCGAGAATTCGAGATTGAAGTCGAAATGCCGATATTAAAGTCTAAATTTCGAAGTTAAAGACGAAATTTCGAATTTTGAAGTCGTATTTTTCAAGAAACAAATAATGAAAAAACGTGGTCTTTCTAGGCTTCCGTACCTCACTTCCATATCACAAAAAATCCTTTTCCGTTTCCACAAAACTGAGTTCCTGGGTCAGTTGAATTTTGTACGGGTACAGGCCCAATTGGGCGACGTGAAATCGATTGCCTCGGATTTTCCTGCACACTCTCACGGACAGCGGCGTTTTTTTCGGCGTTTCGTCGACGTACAGGTGTTGGTATATCCTTTATTGAACCACTGAACTCAAGATCATCCACCACATTGTCAATAGTCCTCTCAGTAGGACGATTATGGCAACCGTAAAAAGGGTGAAGGGTGCAGTACGTTGCTCAAACAAAACGCCCATTCTGATGAAACAATTTCATCATTTGCACGTGTTGTTGAATGCTATTTCCGTCTATGGTTATTTGGCAAAACAGACTGAATAAAAGGCAACTAATTTGACAGTTATAACTTCAACAAGATAGCCGTTATCAATTGTCAAAATTCGGAAGTCCCTCTTTCGAGGGACCCTGTTTTCGAGGAATTTAATTGAACCTGGTTACTTTTACCCCAATTGGAAATCACCTCTAGATCCTAATTAAGATATGCAACCTCTTGCTGCCGGTGAAGATATGCATCCGCAGCCGATGTCCTGGAATCCAAATTTAAATGATTGTATAATACATCTCTTTGATAAACATGCTCCTATCCGCAGGTTAAATTGTAAAAAGAAATTTCTGCCTTACGTCACATACAACCTCAAGCTCATGATGCAAACCAGGGATAAGGCTCATAAAACATATTTAACTTTGAGAACACCGGCTTCAAAGAAGTATTATGTAACTCTACGGAATTACGTTAATGACGATCTGAAACGCGAAAAAACAGCATATATGCAATATATTCTAAACAAAAATGAAAAAATTCTAAGGCAATTTGGAAAAATCTGTCATATTGGGGCATGAATATAAAGCGTTCTTCACAAATCAACAGTCTACCGCAAGAACTGCGTAATCCAGAAGAAATTAATAACGTTTTTCTTAATGTTACTGAAAATTCTACAATTAATAGTGATACCTCATTATTTTATAGTAATAACAGATTCAATATCAATGCAAGTTTCTCGTTTACGGAAATATCCAATAAGGATATCTTTGAAGCTATCAATAAAATAAAATCAAATGCTTTTGGTATCGATAATATCAATATTAAAATGATTTCATTTATTATTCCACATTGCATAGATGAAGTAAAACATATTTTTAATGAGTCTCTGAGGCAAGGCATTTTTCCTGAACATACTAAATATCATAAAAATAAATGCATGAGGTCGTTTAATTTCGATTAAATTGGTACACTCGACCACCCTGTAGATTTCTATGGGTTGAACAAAGCCTGCAAAAACAGTAACTAATCTTTTATCAAGTTTTTTACAAACTGTAGGTTTTCGGCTAAAATAAATTTTTTTTGTATTAAGATTTTTTTCGGGGTGCCAAAGAAGACCCATATTTTTTTTTAGTTTTGCTTATATGCGCACTCAGTATTTTTGACCATTTAATAAATTTTTTTGTAAGTTACATTCGTTTAATAATCACCCGTCAAATTTTTCCCTAAAGCGATCAAAAAAAAATTATTGCCATTTTTAAAAATATCCCTAGACTTTTCCGAAGTGTGTATGTATATTTGGATACAGCTAACATACTTCCAGAAGTGCAATCTGGATTCCGACAGAAACACGGTACCAACACTGCTCTGTTGAAGGTTATCAATGACATCACTACTTCTCGGGACAAATCGATGGTCTCATTTTTGGTTATGCTTGATCAAAGCAAAGCTTTCGATCTGGTAAACTTCAAACTATTGCTGAGTAAACTAAAATACATTGGGTTTGAATGCAGTTTTTTAGATTGGGTGAGAAGCTATCTCACAGGAAGGGCTCAACGGGTTATACTGGATAATGATCAATTATGCTCATCTCTTCAGGAAACTTCTTTTGGTGTACCACAAGGTAGCATTCTAGGTCCATTAATGTTCTATCTTTTCATTTTTGACTTTCCTGCCACGTTATCCCAGTGCGACGTACATTTATATGCTGATGATTTTCAATTATATCTGTCAAGTCAATCTAATAATATCACCAGGATGAACTTAGATTTAGAAAATACACTTCTATTTTCCAAAAATCATGGCCTTCCAATAAATTCAAATAAAACAGTAGCCCTTCCATCTTTTTCTTGACAATGAACCGATTGACTGGGTGAATTCAGCAAAAAATTTAGGTGTATATATCGATAACACTCTCTCGTTCAACGAGCAAGTTAAACACATTTACAAAACTTGCTTTTTTAAACTGAAATCCTTATACAAGTTTAAGTTCCAGCTTTCTCAAGAAACAAAACTGAAATTAGTTCAATCATTGATTTATCCCCATATTGAGTATTGCTGCTCAGTGTATTACAACTTCTTGCCAGACTATAATAAACACAAACTTCAACGCATACAAAATGCTTGTATGAGATTTGTGTACTGCATAAACTACCGTGATCATGTAACTCCATATTTATTGAAATTAGGTCAGCTGAATATTGAGTTTAGAATTCGTTATCTCATATCTGTATTCTTATATAAACTAGTGGAAAGCAAAACTCGTAATTACTTGTTCAGATTAATTAGTAAGCGATCTGATAATCATTCTATCAATTCAAGAAAAGATACATTTACCATTCCATATCATGTTACCACCAAATTTAAGGGATGTTTTTCTTACTTTGGACCGAAGTATCTAAATAATTTATTACCGTATATTCATTTGTCTATATATCAATTCAAAAAAACTTTGAAAATTCATTTCTTAGATGTTCAAAAATGATTGTAATCTTTTATATTATCTCCATAATAGTTTTTTAAATATTATTTTTGTGTCTATTGTAACTGTTACTCATAGTCTCACTGTATGCTTTTTTTCTTAATTATGTGACGGGTGGAAGATAGTCTCTGGCTAACCCTTTTCCCTTTGTGTATAAAACTTGTTTTTGCACCATAAACGTTATTATTATTATAAATGTCGTGACAAGGGTGCTGTCCTCAGCAAAGCAATATACTGGATCCTAGGTTTTTTCCAATAAGTCGTTGATATACTATAAAAAGAGGGTTGGAGACAATATGGATCCCTGAGGAACACCAGCGTTGTTAGTAAAAATGTTGCCCATTATTACATTGGGAACAATATTTCGAGTAAGAATGGAGGCATGACTGCAGCAGAAAAATTTCCAAAGACCCGCGTTATTCCTCATGTTCGGTTTGGATTTAATGAAGGCGTTATAAAAAGACAGTTAATGATAACATCATACCTATCTAATACACAAATAGAAGGTTGCTGGTATTATTTAAACCCTCATTAAACGTTATCACTAATTCCTTTATGAAATGGCCTTAATTATTCGGTATCGGCTTATAGGTCGCGATAATTATTAATTACGTATGAATTATTAATAGTTTTCTAGATTATTCAAAGACGATATTG